GCTCTGTACTGAGTGAGCACGGCAGAGAACGGTCAGTACACTCCCCAGTGGCCAACTGCCTGAGATGGCGAGACATAAAGGCAAAGAGCTGAGATTCACCATTTAAACAAAAAAAATAAATAAAAATAAGTCTAGGTTGTAGATGTCCAATGTATTTCATTCTTGGAAAATACACACGTCCTCCAAATATAAATATTAAAATCTCAACAAATACATTCAAATAACTATATTACTATGTACTGGTATTTATAGTCCTAAAAATTACTAGACCCCCTTCCCCCAAATTGAAGTAAACTATAAAAACTGTCTAAATTAGCTAACATTTTAGATTATGCACAGTTTTGCTTTATTTCCTTAGTCTTTTCATCATCTAGAGATTATGGGTAGGACTCAGGGGGTTCATGATCCTCAAATACTTTAAGAATCTTTTCTAAGAGATCCCCAACTTTCAAAGTGGTCTACTCATTAAGAAGAAAAGTCAAGAATCACTCTCTCTTTTCCCCTCCAGAGCCATCTGTTCAAAGCACCTTCAGAACATCCCACTTGCTCCTCATTGCAATTTAGGCAAATAAACTGAAAAGCGGTAATCCTGCCCCTTTCCTCCCTAAGTTTTATTGAGGTATAATTGGGAAATGAAAAATTATATACATTTGAGGTATACAACTTGATGTTTTTTAATACGTTCACATCACAAAATAGTCACCACAGTCTAGCTAATTAACATACCCATCACCTCACATAGTTATCACTTTTAAGAAAAACTCGTGGTGAGAACACTTACTATTGGCCCTCCTAGTAAATATCAAGCTTATACCAGTATTGTTAACTATGGCTCATGGCTGTACAGTGGTCTTCAGAACTTTGCACCTTTTGATCAACATCTCCCTGTAAACCTCTCCTTCCAGCTCCTGGCAACCCCCAGTCCACTCTGTCCCTTCATGGCAGCGGTTCTCAATCTGTGGGTCATGACCCCTTTGGGGGTCGAACAACCCTTTTACAGGCGTCGCCTAAGACCATCCTGTATATTAGGTGTTTA